CTCGGATGTTTGTGGTTGGGGTATATTCCGGGTTTAGACAGATCGTCAACCCCAATTCCCTATAAGTCCGTACGCCCTGTTCACCCCCCAAAAGACAAAACAGAAAGAAGCCTGAGGGTTTAGCGCTTAGGGCGTAATTAATTAGTCGGCGTGGTGTTGGCTTTCTGGCGCATGCAAACAGAACGGCAACGTTGGAGATGTGATGTTCCTTTCGGGTTCTGAGGGTAGAGCTTGGGATGTTCCCCTTATGCCTTATACTAACAGTTACTAACAGTCCTCAATGAGGATCAGATAGTGGGTACTATAGTCCCTCTTAAGCCCTGTTAGTATAAGGGGGAACATCTCACTGGGCATGGCGGGAGAGCAGAACCAAGCTCCTTGAAACCCAAAGGAACCCTAGGAGAGTTTATGGTCCGCATACCTTAACTGGAATCAACAGGGTATCTGCCCAGTAAACCCTAAACCTTATAAACCCCTAAATCCCACATTTTTTGATTTCATGTGAGAGGTTTTCAGCCATAAGCCCTAAACCCTAAACCCTAAGTCTCTATGTTTGATTCATTGATCGCTTAGCTCTAGGGCTTTAAGGTTTCGAGTTGAGCTGGGCTTGGGTGGTTGAGGGTTTTGAGGAGACCGTTTGTTTTAGGGGTTGGGTTTAGGTGTTTAGAGGTTAGGGGTTTAGGGGGTTAAAGGGTTAAAAGGGTTTAGGGGTTTAAACGTGTTTAGGCGTTTAGGGTTTCAGGGGTTTAGGGGTTTAGGGGTTAGGGGTTTAGGGGTTTAGGGGTGTAGGGGTTTAGGGGTTCAGGGGTTTAGGGGTTCAGGGGTTCAGGGGTTCAGAGGGGTTCAGGGGTTAGGGGTGTAGGGGCTTTAAGGATTACGGTTCAGGCCCGAGAAAGGAAGGAGCCCCAAACGCGACCCCACTTGTTGAATCGGGGCAGCCCTAAACCTCAGCACGTTCCTCCACCCTGGTCGTGCAGGCCGGTCACTGCGAAGAACGTCCGAGTAGGCCCCGCAAGTTTCGCGAGCGGCGGTGCAATAGTTTGGAGTCTTTACCCTAAATCCTAGAACCGTAAAGCCTAATTAACCCCTAAGCACTCCGCCCCCTCCCCCCTCTTCAGAAAAACAGCCTGCCCCTAATGTCCCTCTGTTAAAATCAAAGCCTCCAAGTTCCCACTTAAACCTGTGTCCGTAAGCACCTGCTGAAGACTCAGCCATGGATATGCACTGTTGATATCGGCGCGGTGCGCGACAATAGGGGTTTAGGGTTTAGGGTTTGGGGTTTGGGGTTTAGGGTTTAGGGTTTAGGGTTTAGGGTTTAGGGCGATTTGGGAGCCAACTTGGAGACCTTAGCTTTCCGATGCCATCAAGAAGTGCCGCAACGATGATGGAAACTTCGACGGCTACGTGGTTGAGAGCGTCACTGTAAGCGAAGAGATCTTTTGAGACTTCGGGGATTTGAAACCGAGCTGCCCACAGGGGATTCCCCCCCAAAAGGGGATTGCCGAGATCTGAATACCTCTGAAGTCAACGTGGCTTAGGGTTTAGGGAGTTTTCCTTGGCAGCCCAGTGGTACCCTTATCCCTTTTTTGCGTTCAAGGTTCCCTTATGAAGTAGCCACCCCAAAAAGGGTACCCTGGGTTACTGGGCTACCAAGAAGTTCGTGTCGCAGAGCTCATGGACTACCGCCCAAACAAGGTCTTCTTAAGAGCTATCACTGGGGGTTTAGTTTGGGTTGGGTGATTAATGAAGAGGGCGGAGGTATAGTATAGGATCCCATCCCAGACCCTTGGGAGCATCCAAACAGTACCCCTTAAGGGTTCCTAAAATATCCAAAGAGTAGAGTGAAGGACTGGGATGGGGAGGCAGGGCGGGAGGGTAGTTGCGGGCTTAGGGTTTAGGGTTTTTGATACTCGGGGGCGCTTGGCTTGTATCCTACAGCCCCTGAGGCCCTACATAGACCCTCAAGACAGAAATTGTATGTGGTACCATTCTGCACTTGCCAAGCTATTTGTCTAAGCAGCTTACAAGCAGAGTTGACGTGAATTCATGCAAAGCGCCTGGGGGCCCAAATGCTCAATGTACTTATAGAAACTGCCTTCCCATCCGGAAGAAACGCTCTGGGAGGTTGGTTAAAGCGTCCGTCCCAAAATTACAAATTAGGCTCCAGAAAAGAAGCTTGTCGCTCAACGTTCAAAAACGGATCCAATTCGTAACCATTGAAATTTTGATATCCCATTATATATGCTTCCCACCCAGCCATGAAATTCACATATATCACGCCTGGCCACGTTTCGTTCCCACCCAGCCATGGAACTCAATGATTATGACAGAAAGTGTCTACAAGAGAGACGTTTCGGTTAAGCTTTCGTTAAACCAATCGTTGAAAACTTTTCGTTGAAAGATGTTCGTCGAGCACTGCTCGTTGAACAAGGTTCGTTGAAAGTGTTTCGTTCAACATGTTTAGTTGACATGTTTCGTTGAAAGCGTTTCGTTGAAAGCACTATTGGGGCCCAAGCCCTATACAATGTCTAAAAACCTGAATCCTAAACCCTAAACCCTTGCCTTAAACCTACTAAACCTGAAGCGTATCCCCCCCCCCCCCCCCCGAACCCCAAACTGGCCCTAAACCCTCAACCCTAAACCCTAAACCCTCAACCCTAAACCCTAAACCCTAAACCCTAAACCCTAAACCACGCCTTGATGCGCCCCTGCGTCGACTGCCGGAGAGGCATGAAGGTGCTGCCGGGCAAGGACCCGGGTCTAAATAGTTGGGGAACCCTAAACCCTCAACCCTAAACCCTAAACCCGAAACCCTAAACCCTAAGACATACATGTATAGAGTACTGTTTATATACATTATGCATTATAATGTATTGCTATACATATCATATATCAATAAAGAACTGATGTATACATATCTATATATAGATATGTATGTATATACATACATATAAATAAATATAAATAAATATATATATATGTATATGTAGAATACGTAGTTGGGATAGTTGTAGCTTAAGCGCTTAGCCCTAGGGTTTCCTAACGAAGATCCGGCCCTGGTAACTGCGCAACAAGTGCACAAGCAAATAGCAGGCTTCCCTTATAGCAAGGACCCGAATAGGTCCCCGTAATTTCGGAAGTCTCCACTCCAGGGCTTGGGGAAACCCTAAGCGCCAGAACTCTACAACCCCACAACCCCTCATATCCTTAACCCTCAGCCCCTGAACCCTAAAGACCTAACCCCTAAACCCCAAGCCCTAAACCCTGAACCCTGAACACTGAGACTAGAGGACTGGATGTACGACATGAAGAAGGATGATGCCAAGCAGAATGCAGCTTCAGGGTGTAGCATGGCAACAGCCCCGGCTCTCCTTGGAGGGGGGCTTCAGGTTTTTAGGGCTTTTAGGGTTTAGGTTTTAGGGGGGGGGGGTGCTTTAGGGTTGTTAGCGTGTAAAGTCTAAATTAGGTCTGAAGGTTTAGGGTTTCATTTTTTATTTACTTTTGTTTTTCTCGGGGGGGGGGGGGGTTAGGGCTTTACACTTGAGGGTTTTCGGGCTTTAGGGTTTGGTTTTATTGGGGTTTTCGGCTTATAGCGTAGAAATTAGGGCTGAAGGTTTAGGGCTTTAGCAAAGATCGGGAGCCCAAAAGCACGGCTAGGGGCTTTAGGGGTTTCAGGGGTTTAGGGCTGTTGGGGTTTTAGGGTTGTGGTGTTTAGCGGCTTGAAGTAGGGCTTCGGGGATTTAGGCTCTACGGCCCCAGAAGTTCAATTCAAGGTTTTAGGGTGCAGCGTTCAGGGTTTCAGGTTGTTGCCTTTTGCACAGGATGCAATTTATGAACGCTAGGATTGTGGATAGCGTTTAGGTGGGATGGATGGACGGATGGATGGAAGGCTGGTCGGGGGATAGGCATGTGCCCATACATACGTATAATACACACATACAAACACACTTATACATATGTATATGGTTATACTATATATATATATGTATATAGATGTATACGCGCACACTTTCTCCTTATAGCATTCGGGTATTTAGCGTTCAGGGTTTGAAGCCGTTCCATGCCTCAGGCGGGTTGTTGGCTCAGGGTTTAGGTTTAGGGTCCAGGGTTCAGCTGTTATGGCCCCAAACCCTAAACCCTAAACCTTAAACCCTAAACCCTAAACCCTAAACCCTCTTAGGGTTAGGGCTCGATAGTACCCAATCCCTACTCGTCTTGGAGCTTAAGGCTTAAGCTCTCAAGTTAGTATTCGGGTATCATCGCCAGGTCGGAACCGTCACCAACTGCGATGACTGCCAGGACGCCTATGTTCCAAGTCCACCTATGAACCCTAGGCCCTGGACTCTAAAACCCTAAACCCCGAACCTTAAACCCTGAACAAGCAACCTCGGTCCCCGCAGTGATCTTCGCCGTCCTTGGCTCCAGGGTCTCATGGGGAAATCGCGTCCGTTCTGGCAGGCAATCGCCTTGACGGTTCAAGGGTTTAGGGTTTAAGGGTTTTAGGGTTTAGGGTTTAAAGGGTTAAGGGTTTCAAGGGTTTAGGGTTTTAAGGGTTGAAAAGGGTTTAAAGGCTTTAGGGTTCAGGTTTTAGGGAAGCAATTCGCCATGTCCCCCTATCCTACCCTTTAGGGGAGTATAAGCCCCAAGCCCTCAACCCTACTTCCCCTCTTCCGTGCGAAGAACCAGCAATGTAGCATGTTGGCCCCCTTGAACCAAGATACAGCAGCCCTAAACCTTACGTCCACAGCCCACAAAGGGGCTAGGGTTCAGGGAAGCACCTCCAGGGCGCGGCGTAGCCCGCCTAAATCAAAAGTCATCACGCTTGCGCCATAGCTACAGGCGGATCCTCGCGCTGTCTTGGGCAATGGAAATGGATGACGTAACCGTGTTCCAGGATCAGCGAGTTGGGTACCGCTGGTCCTCAGAAGCTCTGGATATTTGGTGCACTGAGGGGCCCACTCTACGAAACTCCCGAAAAATTTGGGAGGACTTTCAGCATCGTGGGCTCAGTCAGCAGGACGCTTCGTACCCAGGTGTCCAGCTGTCAGGAACAGAGATCCTGTACTACCGTGTCAAGGTTCACCAGGGGACTACCCCAGCCATGAATCGCCAGCAGAAGGATGCCGTGAGCGTGAAGATCGGCTGGGCCAAGGAAATTGGGCTGCGCTTAGAAGCACCTGCATTCCTAGGAGTTTTGTGTATCGGAGTATCTTGGAGAGATAGCTATCGTCTTTTTTCGTGTTCGGGCTTCTTATGGAGCCCCTGCAACCCCACACACTTGTGAAAACCACAAGACGTGGTGCACCGAGAGGGGCTCAGGAACGTGGGTTTGGGGCGTGAGGGGGTTGATTTTGAAATATTTGTTGATTTTCCATGTGACCCCAATCCCTGACCATCGAAATCTAGTCTGCCCACAGCCCTAAACCAGCTGGGGCTTCGCTTGAAGGGAGCCTTTCGAAGCCCAAACCCTAAACTCTAAGCCCTAAACCCTAAACCCCAAACCCTAAACCCTAAACCGCCAAGGTGGGGGATAAGGCGAGGAATAGGGCCAAACAGCCCACACGGATCAACAAAAACGAAGCCTTGCTTGGGGGTTCATGGTACTTAGTAGCTAATTATTCGTGTACGTATAACCCAATCATAGCCGCGGTAACTCGACTTTAGGGGACTTATAACCCATAATTGGGAGTTATAGTTAGTTGCTAAGTACCATGAACCTCCAAGTAGAGCTTTACAAGCACGTTCCCGACAAGTCCGAAACCCTGCGAACCTCTAATGTAGGGGTCGGAAGAAGTAATTTTACTATACGAACCCCCCAAAAGCCTGTTCTAATTATTCAGGCCCCTGTAGTACACCCGGTGGTGGTCCCTAACAGCGCGCCCAGGAAGGAGCCAACTTCCACCCCGGCCGGTGGGACAACGACAGTTTCAGCATTTCCGGGACTGGCACGACCTGCGAGGCGGCGCGGTACCATTGGCCATGGTTCTACCAGGGCAGTGCCTTGCTTTATGTAGGAGGGTTCAGGGTTTAGGGTTTAGGACCAAGTGTCGGAGGTAGGGCTAGGGTTTAGAGCAGATTTCGGGTAGTCGTATGCTTTGGTGGATGATGGTTGTGACCGTTTTGTAGGGAGCAGAAGGCATGCGACCACATTCTATGGAGAGCAAAGGGCGGTCTCTGTTTCCCTAGCATGTCAGGTGCTTACCCAGCATACTTTTCGACGGGCTCCACCATCGAGACAGGCGTAAGGCGCAAGGCGGACAGCATCGACATATTCTATCGGGTAGATGGCTACAATATTGGTCGGGGCAAATCGGATGCTGTTTTCCGAGTGCCTTGGCAGGAAGGTCAGAGTTTGCTACCTGCCCTGGCTGGCGGAATCAACTTTGGACATGGCTGGGACATCACCGTTGATTTTGATGTGGGTTCCGATTTCAAAGAGTTGCTTGGGCTTTCTGCGCCCCCTCGGGCAGCACTTGCTTGGGAACCAGCAGCAAAGCGGCAGCGTGCAGCCGAGAAAGAGGTGATCGAATCAGCCTCGCGAACATGCTCTGCGTGTGGCCATGTGACTCCTCCAGAGAACAAGTTCTGCGGCCAGTGCGGCCACAACCTCGACAATGAAAAGGATGTGGAGGTGATCGGCTTCAGTATTGATGGCGAGCAGGCGCATGGCGAGTGAGGGGTACGGTATGGGGGGGGCTTCAGCGTGAAGGCAACTACAGCCTTGGTAGCCTTAGTACTTTCACGCAGGACTTAGGCCCGAGCTTGTGCCTTGAATCCTGAGGCTAGGGCACAGAAGGGTTCCTCAACCCGAAACCCCGAAACCCCGAAACCCCGAAACCCCGAAACCCCGAAACCCCGAAACCCCGAAACCCCGAAACCCCGAAACCCGAAGTTGTTTATACTTTTAGAGTCCGAAACTAAACCCCAAAGGTCTAGGGTTAGGGTTTATAGGGGTTTATGGAACCTTAAACCGGACGCCGCTGAAGTGCTAAGCCCAAATCCCCCTAAGGCCTTAGACCTGTGAACATGCCACCTCATCCCCCCCCCCCCCCCCCCCCCCCCTCCCCTCCCCCCCCCTATATTGTGGGCCCCCAAGATGTCGTTGAGCAGTGGCCAGTCCACGATCCCGGCAGTGGGGGGAGACCGCGAACTCCCCAAAACCACACCCCAACCGTGAACTCGAGACAATGACCCTTACAATCCAAGTCGAACGGAGGTACGTACTCTAGACTTCTAAACGCTAGACCCAAGCGGGGGTTTACGAAATAGGGGACCCTAAAATAGACCCCCAAATTGAAGGATTCTCTGATAATAAGGACCCAAGTACCCATAAACCCTAAACCCCAAACTCCCAAGTTACCAGAAGCCGTGAACCTGACACCCCGACCATCCTACTGGTTTACGCGGTTCAGGGTTTAGGGTTTAGGGTTTAGGGTTTGCCTTCACAACCCGCCTGTGACCAGGTCCTCTTTAACGAGGACGACTGGGATTCCTTTCGCCAGATTGTGGCTGAAAGAGCCCAGGCTGTCAAGCACGAGCCTGGCACCGCGGGATACCATTGGGATCGTAACGACCGCATCGTTAAGGTGCCAATAGACCGTATCTTGTGTCTGCAAAGCAACATCAGCCCTCGTTTCAGGAACGGGACGCCCATAGAGAGCCTCGTCGAGAAGCTGAAGAGAGGTCAAGAAGATCCACTCCGGACGCAGTGGCTTATCTTGAGGCTGGCCAAGGCCAGATGGTTCGACAGAGCTGCAGGATGCTGTGTTGAAAAGTTTTACACATTCGACCACCGTCGCTTGTGGTGCATGCATCGAGCTGGATGCAGGACAGTCCGTGCCAGAATTGAGATGGAAGGGCCGCTTGTTGATGAGTTCATGAGAAAGGCCGACTTCGACGGCACGAAGCCTGGGGACCTGCAGGTACGCCACAGATTCCGCAGATGAGGCTTCGGTGGAGATTTTCTTCGTGGCAGCTTCCCTGGCTTTGTTTACCATGGCTGTACCTGGAATGTACCTTATGTGCCAAAACAGTGCACATCGTGTCTAAGACACCTTGCAGATGCTGCTGGCAGAAACAGTTGCGTTGATGTTGCAACAACATAGTGCAAGAGCCTCAACATTTACCAACAGCTATTTTCAGCGCCTGATAATGCATCGACTATTCTAGCACGCCTGTTCTATTCAAAAAAGTAGGGCCCCCATATTGCACGCAACCGGACTTTCAGGAGGAATCGACCGTAGAATAGGACCCCCCCTAGAGGGATATCAACTTACATGGAACCTGCCCACGCGCGCGCGTGTGTCTCTCTGTGTGTGTGTGTGTGTGTGTGTGTGTCGCGCAGGCGTTTGCCTCTGGTCTTCCCCTTCGGGCTACTTGGGTGGTACCTTAACCGTGAGATACCCTGAACCCGAAACTCTAAACCTCGGTAGCCCAGTGGTACCCTTTTGCCCTTTTCTGGCTTCCAGGTTCCCATAATTTAAAGTAGCCCACCCCCCCAAAGAGTACCCTTAAACCCTAAACCCTAAACCCCTAAACCCTAAACCCTAAACCCCTTACCCGCCAAAAACCCGAAACCTTAAACCCGAACCCCTAGACGAGACAAGAAATCGAAGTCCATGCTTGCACACACACACACACACACTCCCTAACCCTAAGCCCTAAGCCCTAAACCCTAAACTCGAAACCCTAAACCCTAAACCCCTAAATCCTAACCCTAAACCTAAAGGGCTTAGCCCGAAATCTAAGCTGCAGAGCCATGCGGTGCAGAGTTGTGGGCTGAGGGTCGTAACCTTCAGACCCCAAGGCCTGAAACAAGAACTTGCGAATGAATGCCTGAAGCCTAGATTCAGGGTTGGACTCGAGACCTAATCCCAAAACCCGAAACCCGAAGCCCGAAGCCCTAAGCCCTAAGCCCTAAGCCCTAAGCCCTAAGCCCTAAAACCGAAACCTCCCAGACCCTAAACCCATCAGCCCAAAGCATCCTTCCTTGGAGGAGCTGGGGTACTGCGAGGTTCTTTGGGCTCGGACCCCGTTTGTTTTTCGGGTTTAGGGTTTCGGGTTTCGGGTTTCCGGGGGCTGCGGCGAAAGACTCTGTAGGATGCATAGGCTTTATTGGCGTCATAGGCTTTATAGGGTTTAGGGTGTAGGGTTCAGGTTTAAAGTTGAGGGTTTAGGGTTCTTTAAAATACTAGGTCAAAAGGGAAGGGGATAGGATTCTACCAGCGGGGGGTTCTGAGGCCTCAAGTAAACCATGAAAGCTTCTCCCCTGACAGACCCTTACGTCCTCAACCTCCCGACGCCTTCTCATCCTCCAAAAGCCCCAAAAGCGCCCAACAGCCCTAAACCCCAAACCACAAAAACCACAACACTCTAAACCCCTACCCTGAACCCCCAAAAAAAGCAAAACCCCCAAACCCTAAACCTAAACCCTAAACCGTAAACCCTAAACTCTACACCCTAAACCCTAAACCCTAAACCCTAAACCCTAAACCCTAAACCCTAAACCCTAAGCCCTAAGCCCTAAACCCTAAACCTCAAGGTCAATGGCTCAGAGGGCCGCTACCGTATCACCACCTCTTGGCAGACGGCATCAGACCTCCGCCGCCATCCAGACTGGCCAGGAGCCCTGTTTAGGGTTTAGGGTTTAGGGTTTAGGGGTTTAGGGGTTTAGGGATTTGGGGGTTTAGGGGTTTAGGGGTTTAGGGGTTTAGGGGTTTAGGGGTTTAGGGGTTTAGGGGTTAGGAGTTTAGGGGTTTAGGGGTTTAGGGGTTTAGGGGTTTAGGGGTTTAGGGGTTTAGGGGTTTAGGGGTTTAGGGGTTTAGGGGTTTAGGGGTTTAGGAGTTTAGGGGTTTAGGGGTTTAGGGGTTTAGGGGTTTAGGGGTTTAGGGGTTTAGGGGTTTAGGGGTTTAGGGGTTTAGGGGTTAGGGGTTTAGGGGTTAGGGGTTTAGGGTTTAGGGTTTAGGTGTTAGGGGCGTAGGGTTTAGGGCCAGGGTTTAGGGCGCATTAAGAGCCGATTGGGCGTGCTTCTCATGACGCGCAGCAGTCCTGCCACAGATCCCGAAACCCTGAACCCGGGCCCAGGTATGCGGTTTGCGTGGAAGCCACCGTGCTCATGTTCGGTGTCGCGCCTACTTACGTCCTTTCTTGTTGTCTTTCTGTTTTTTTTTCGTTGGGGGGGGGGGGGATCTTCGGGCAGGTTGAGAATAGAGTTTCACAGTGTAACAGTGTAGCACGTAGGGCTGCAGAAGAGCTCAGCCACCCCAACCTTGAGACCCAACCCCTGAGCCAGACGTAAGGTCCTCGTGCCCGTTGCAACAGGTGCAACCTTGTGTTGTGTTGATATCCGCGGGCTTCGGCAGGCTTAGGGTGTAGGGTTTGGTGTCTTAAGTTTGGGGTTCAGGGTTCAGGGTTTGGGACACACGTCTTCAAGTGTCTGCTGCTGGACTAGTCCAGTGCTGACAGGCGAAAGCCCTCAGCCGTTTAAGCAAAACCCGGGACCCCAAACCCTGAAAAAAACTTCCTGCCTTAAACCCTAAGCCCTAAACCCTCAAAGGCAACTACCACCTCAACCTCTTCGTCAGCTTCGTCGCGCTCGCCGTGTGGCGCCCAGCTTGTTGCAGTTTTAGGGTTTGGGGCTTAGGGCTCAGGGTTTAGGGTGAAAAACCAGTGGTGCCCTTTTCCCGTTTTTGGTACAAGGTCCCCTTATAAAGTAATCAGCCCCAAAACGAGTAATTACCCTTATTATCATAGGGTTACTTCAGTGGATCCTATAAACCACAACGTCCTGAGACGGCTTAGGTGTCTGGGCTCTAATGTTGGGAGCCTGACCTCTGAGCCCTAAACCCTAAATCCCGGACTGCCCCAAACCCCAAACCCTAAACCCCAAACCCCAAGTCCCAAACCCCAAGCCCAAAACCTAAACCCTAAACCCCAAACCCCAAACCCTAAACCCTGAACCCTGAACCCTAAACCCTAACCCCCCCCCCCCCCCCCCCCCCCCCCCCCTTCCCCCCCCAAGACCCTAAACGTGCACCTCCGCCAAGTCGCACTGCGCCATTGCCGTGGTCCTGATCGTGGGGAATCCCTGGCTTACCCTTCAGTTTAGGGTTTAGGGTAAGATTTTAAATCTTAGAACTCTAGATTCTAAATTTTCAATCCTAAACCCTGAACCCTAAACCTAAACTTGCCCTAAACCCTAAACCCTAAACCCTAAACCCTCAGGGCTGTTAGGATGCAAAGTTGGACCTGTATCCGCTTATTGATACGGTAGGGGCTCTTTCAGGGCCACAGGAAGCCACCCTAAACCCTAAACCCTAAACCCTAAGCCCTAAGCCCTAAGCCCTATAAGCCCTAAACCCTAAGCCCTAAGGCCTGAGCCCGAAGCCCTAAAGACAAAACAACCAAATTCTGGAGTTCTTCAGGTGAGCCCAGGGCCCCCCAGCTACCCTGAGTTCCTGCAAAAAGCAGTTCCTGCAAAAAGCCCAAAGCATCCGATCCAAGATAGGGTTTAGGGTCTGGGGTCTAGGGTTTAGGGTTTAGGGTCTGGGGTTTACAGTTTTTTCGGATGCCCCGCGGCCCCATTTTATGGAGATAGGGTTTAGGGTTGAGGGTTTAGGGTCTATAGAGTTTTAGGTTTAGGGTTTAGGGTTTAGGGTTTAGGGTTGAGGGTTGAGGGTTTAGGGTTTAGGGTTTAGGGTTGAACCCAAAACTTACTTCCTGGTCCCCTAAACCCGTTACAGGGTTCTTGGGTAGCTTTTGCGTACTTAGGATGCACCCACAGGGTCTCAGAACGGCTTGCTTTTCACAGGAGTTCCAAGTCCTTGCTACTAAGCTGTAAAGCACATCGAGTGGCATGTAAAACCCGAACCTTACACACACCCTCCCGCAAACTAAGCCCGAAGCCCTAATCCCTAAAGTCCTAAAGCCCTCACCCTAAACCCTAAACCCTAAACCCTAAACCCTAAACCCTAAACCCTAAACCCTAAACCCTAAACCCTAAACCCTAAACCCTAAACCCCACGGCCCCAAGAATCCCAAAAGCCTCACCAGCCTTGCCAGCCTTCTTCGCTGCACAAACTACTGGCTTGTTCACCGTCGCCCCCCAGAGTACGACTCTAAACCCCTAAATCCGATGGAGTTCGTGGCTTAGGGTGCCTTAGAGCACCCCTAAGCCCGAACTCTACCCCCGAAGGCCGCTTTCCTGGCGCGGCTTCGGGGCGAAGAGTTCATGGTTTAGGGTTTAGGGTTTAGGGTTTAGGGCTTAGGCATTAGGTCTTAGGGCTTAGGGCTTAGGGTTTAGGATGTTTGGGCTCAAGGTGTTTTGTTTTGTGTTCAGGGCTTCGAGTCACGGCTGCACTCTGTACATCCCTGCCCCTGGACCTTGGACCCTAAGCTCTAAGCCCTGTTTCCTGAACCTAACAGTTAGACCCTAGACCCTAGACCCTAAACCCTAAACCCTAAACCCTAAACCCCAAACCCCAAACCCCAAACCCCAACCCGCCTCTCCCCCAGGCTCTGGACAGCAACTGGTTCGGCAACTGGCATGCCAAGCGGGATCCTCAAGGCTTGCCACTCCTGCCAGCAGCCAACCTTCAAGGAGCTTGTTGGCTTTTAGGGGCAAACCCGAAACCCGAAACCTTAAACCCGTCCTTACCAGTCTTTAGAGCCCTAAACCCTAAACCCTAACCCTGAACCCTGAACCCTAAACCCTAAACCATAAACCCTAAACCCTAAACCACTTACGGTCGAGGAATCTTAGGGGCGCCGGGGCTCAGGGTCCAAGGTTTAAGGTTTCGGTAACTTCGGGGTTCGGAGGCTCAGGGTGTAGGAAGAGTAAGGTCCATTCGTATGAGTCACATTGCTGGAGCCCTGCTAAGTTAGGGTTCAAGGCTTAGGGTTTAGGGTTTAAGGTTTTAGGGTTTTAGGGTTTTAGGGTTTTAGGGTTTTAGGGTTTTAGGGTTTTAGGGTTTTAGGGTTTTAGGGTGTTAGGGTTTTAGGGTTTTAGGGTTTTAGGGATTTAGGGTTTTAGGGTTTCAGGGTTTTAGGGTTTCGGGTTTCAGATTTCGGGTTTTGCGTGTGATTTGGCCTCATAGGCCCTTATAAGCCCTTGTTTATGAACACGTTTTACCCGTTTGCAGACCTTGTAAAGACCCACAAACCCTAAACCCCAAACCCTAAAACCCCAAAACCCTAAAACCCTAAACCCTAAACCCTCAACCCTCAACCCTAAACCCTAAACCCTAAACCCTAACCCCCAAACCGGACTCCGGCTGAGGATGATGCGGATGCCCACACGGGTCGAGATGGATTCGGCACACACGATCGAGGCCGCAGGGGGGTTCAGCAACCCTGGGTCCCTTTTCTTTGTTTGGCTTAGGGTTTAGGGTTTAGGGTTTAGGGTTTAGGGTTTAGGGTTTAGGGTTTAGGGTTTAGGGTTTAGGGTTTAGGGTTTAGGGTTTAGTGTTAGGGTTTTTTAGGGCTTAGTGCGAAGACTGAAAGCAACCTTGGCTCCCTTTTGAGTCTTAGGTTAGTCAGGGCGTGCCCCGCAATCTTGAAGTAGTTTCTTGGGCTAACCCTTAAAGCCCTAATCCTTAGCCGCTAAACCCTAAACTTTCATACTTTCATCCGGTGGCTTGAATTATATGGGCTTTCAGGGATACCAGTGTGATTTCTTGTAGATAGAGGGCAACAAAAAAGCGCACACAATGTTGTTCCAGCCTCGCAAGCCCCACACCCGAACTCCCGAAACCCGAAGAACACAGAAGAAGCGTCACTAAAACACCACGGGACCATCTTCTTCGGCAGATTTTCAGGGTTAAGGGTGAGGGTTTAGGGTTTAGGGTTCAGGGTTTCGGCCCTAGGGTTGAGGGTGGTTTTCTAACCCCTGGTACTCAAAAAACCAGCCCAAGGTTAAGACGAGGACCAACTCCTCGTCAGCCAGCCCCCCCGAGCCTACAAACTTCAAGCCTGCAGAGCCTTAAACCCCAAACCCTACACCCTAAGGGCGCTCGTGCTGACAAAAACATACAGCAAGCCCACAAACCCGGCGTGAAAGCCTGGTAAACGGTACGGCCTGTAGACCCAGGGAGCTGCAAAGCACGGCTCGGTCGGCGCGCCCCCGATTGCCATGACGGCACGGGCGGCCCAGTCTTTCGGTGCCTCTTCTGGGGCTTTTGGCGGGCTAAACCCCAAAACCCGAAACCCTATAAACCTTAACCCCTGCAAACCCCCAAGGCCCTGAATTTGGACCATCTTCAGACATTTTTTCAGTAAACCCAAAGCCCTTGCTTAATATGGTTAAGAATGATCATCTTCGGAATATTTGTTCCGAAGCTTTAAGAAGTGGGTCTCCACAGATTCTGGGTTGAGGGTGCGCGTTGAGCATCGGCGGGGTTTTGGGGTTTTGCGGTTTTTGGGCTTCAGGGGTTTCAGGGGTTTGAGGGTTTAGGAGGTTTGCAAGCCGCCAAATCAATCGCATGGTTGGTGGTCATAAAGACCTTGGAAGAGGGTGCTAAGTCGCTGCTGCATCGGCCCAACGATGGCTCGACCCCTTAGGCCCTAGATCTTACTTCAAACACCAACCCCTGAACCCCAAACCGTAAGCCTCGCGAACTCTACACCCTCAACCGACTATCGCCGCGAAGCTGGACCAGAGCCTCAGGAACTCCAAGACGAGATCGTCATCGAGGTCTGGGAACATGGGAGGTTTAGGGTTTAGGGTCATGGAGTTTTGGGATGCATACGATCTACGGTCATTCAGGGTTTTGTATTTGTGGTTCTGGGTTGTTTTTGCTGCGTAGGGTTTGACGTCCGTGGCTTCGCACCGTGAGTTTTTCACCCAGAAGCCTGCAGCCCCCTCAACCGCAGCAAGATTCGGCTCCCCACCTTGCACGTTTAAAATCTCATGGAGCAACCCTCAACTCGAAATTCAACGCTTGGGCTTTCCAGAAGTCCCTTTGAAAGGGTCATGCCGACGGCATGCCACTAAGTATTTAGTTTCGTCGTCACTCGAACAGTATAAACCCGAGACTCTATGCCTAAACCCTACAGCTCCTCAAGTCTAAGACAGTGAGCCCTAAACCCTAAACCCTAAACCCTAAACCCTAAACCCTAATCCCCAAACCCCAAACCCCAAACCCTAAACCCTAAACCCAGTGAGCAACTTGCTGGCTCGGTCGGAGGATCTGAAGCGCGAGCCGTGGGCCAAGCGAGAACTGAAGCTGCGCTCTCAGACGGCCGCTGCTCAGGGTAGGTACCTTTGCAACTATTAGGGTTTAGGGTTTAGGGTTTAGGGTTTAGGGTTTAGGGTTTAGGGTTTAGGGTTTAGGGTTTCGGGATGGGGCCATTGCTTGCTAATGTGGGCATGGGCCGCAATGTTCTCCTGAACACATAACACCCAAACCCTAGACTCTCAACCCTGCTACTGGGGGCAAGGCGCTTGAAGTTGGAGTTTCGGCTGAAGCAGTGGGTTACAATGATGGTTTGAAATGAGAACCTCTGTCTTCAAGACTGTACCCGTGCGGTTTCGGCTTTACAGGTCTGTGGGGCATCAGGTTTTAACTCTGAACCCTAAACCCTAAACCTTGTTTTTTCGGTTTTTTGAGAGTTTTGGGATCGTTAAACACTTGCGCAAGTAGAACCCCCGAGCCGATTTTTTCTGGCTCCCCAAAAGCACTGACCCCCCAAACCCCCCAAACCCCCCAAAGCCCCCAAACCCCCCAAACCCCCCAAACCCCCACCCCAAACCCCCAAACCCCCAAACCCCCAAACCCCCAAACCCCCAAAGCCCAAAACCCCCACACCCCCAAAGCCCCAAACCGCCAAACCCCAAACCCCCCGCAAACCCTAAACCCCAAAACCCCCAAACCCCCAAACCCTAAACCCTAAACCCTAAACCCTAAACCCTAAACCCCACAAGACAGGCCCAAGTCCGATCCCATGCCGCCCGCCTGCATCATCGACGATCCCGCCTACAGGCACGCACCCGTCGACATTAGGGTTTAGGGTTTAGGGTTTAGGGTTTAGGGTTTAGGGATAGTAGGAGGGGTTTAGGGTCTCGGGTTTAGGCTAGGGCCATGGGTTTTGTTGCAATTGGGTTTCGGGGTTTGGGGATTCAGGGTTTGTGGATTGGGGCTTTATAAGGGTGAGACATGTTTTACTATCTTTATCTTCAGGGGGGGGTTCTTAAGCAAATAAGGGTTTGCTTCTTTGCCTGTGACAGAAAGGCATAGGAATTGGTGCTGATCGTGTTCCGCTCAGTGAGACTGGATGTTGGAGCATGATTCCGCTGGGGGCGGGGGGGGGGGGGGGGGCTGCAGTTGGTTTACTACTATTGCTTAAGACCCCCCCCCTTAAAAAAAAGAAAACAAAGAATAAACAAATAAATAAAAACACATATATATATACATATATATATATATATATATTCTCTTCGTTTTATGCGCAATATAGGTATCATTTCTTTTCGGGGGTTCGTAAGCAAAATTAATGCTTTCGTCTTCGTATTTCAGTCTGAAAGGGCCGTCAGTCCTGTCCGGCTGGCAGGCCTAAACCGTTGGCTCCTCAATCGTTGGGGGTCTATGTCAGGTCGAATTGACCCTAAACCCTGAACCCTAAACCCCAAACCCTAACCTAAACTTAAACCCCAAACCCTAAACCCTAAACCCTAGTCCCTAAAACCTATCTAGACATGTCAGAGGTCCATGCCCGCCACTCCTTTGTCCGACCGTCCGTTGTCAGTAAGCCCTAAACCCCAAACCCCAAAGACCCCAAACCCTAACAAACCCGAAACCCTAAACCCCAAACCCTAAACCCTAAAACCCTAAACCCCTAAACCCTAAACCCTAAACCCTAAACCCAAACCCTAAACCCCAAACCCTAAACCCTAAACACCTTAAACCCTTTACTGTAGGCTTTAGGGTTTAGGGTTTACAGCGGCCTTCGGCTTGCAGGGGCGCGGAGTGGAAGGAGGTCTGCCGAGTGAAGCTGAGGAAGGCCACCACGTCAGGTTTAGGGTTTAGGGTTTAGGGTTTAGGGTTTAGGGTTTAGGGTTTAGGGTTTAGGGTTTAGGGTTTAGGGTTTAGGGTGTAGGGTTTAGGGTTTAGGGTTTAGGGTTTAGGGAAGTTTCGAGAGTAGGTTTAGTGTGTATTAGGGTTTGGGATTTAGGGTTATTAGGGTTTTGGGTTTAGAGTTTAGGGTTTGGGATTTAGAGTTTAGGGTTTGGAGTTTAGGGTTTAGGGTTTAGGACTTGGAGTTTAGGGTTAGGGTCGGGGGCTAGGGTATATTTAGGGGATTTAGGGCTCTGACCCTAAAGCAATCGTTGAGTGTCCAGGGCTATCCAGGGCCTTTGGAGTTTCGGGGTGATAGGGTCTATTGAGTGTAGGGCTTTAGTCTAGAGGGCCGATGAGGCCCGTAGGACTCAACCCTAACCCTAAACCCTTAAACCCTTAAACCCTAAACCCTAAACCCACTCAGAATCCGACACGCAGAGGGATCAGGGTCCCATTGAGGGTCTAGGGTTTGGGGGTCCATCCCTTGCGCTAAAGCTTCCTCCCTAAAGCCCTTAAGCCCTGCTGCTAGCCTCTTGGGTTCAGGGATTGGTTGGGGGGGCCATTTAAGTAGTAAGTAAGCCCTAGTAAGCAGCCCCCAAAAAAGACTCCAAAATGTAAACGGACCCCCTAATTAATGTAAAGTCCGCAGAATTAGCCCCTGAAAGGCCCTCATAGAAGCCCCCAGACCCTAAAGCCCTTCGAAGGCCCCACTCCGGTACTAAAAACAACATTTTTCATTGGGGACCAGGCAAATCCTTCACTTTTTTTTTTTTTTTTTGGGGGGGGGGGGGGGGGCATTTTGGGGCTTTTTAAAAGCCATTTGGGGCTGTGGTGGTGCTTTGGGGTCAAATGTCAAATGGAGGGGCCCCGAAAACGTGGATGTAGGAGTTCCTGGACTCTTTCGGCCCCGATAAGGGGCTTAGTGCATCCTTCCTAAGCCCCTAAACCCTAAACCCTCATCCTAAACCCTCAACCCTCAACCCTAAACCCTAAACCCTAAACCCTAAACCCTAAACCCTAAACCCTAAACCCTAAACCCTAAACCCTAAACCCTAAACCCTAAACCCTAAACCCTAGGAGGCCCTGAAGCCTCCCTTCCTGGAGGTGGCGAGCAAGGCCTCGGTGACAAAGCTCCGCAAGGACTACGGCATCGCCGGGGGCTCCCAGCTGGGGGTTTAGGGTTTAGGGTTTAGGGTTTAGGGTTTAGGGTTTAGGGTTTAGGGTTTAAGGTTTAGGGTTTAGGGTTTCAGGGTTCAGGGTTCAGGGTTCAGGGTTCAGGGTTCAGGGTTCAGGGTTCAGGGGTTTGGGGTACTGAGTAACAAATTATAACTGTGCTTATAACCCACTTACAAGCCCCTTAAGTGCCCTAATATGGTTATAGGTACAGTTACAAGTACAGTTAGACTTGGTTAATAAGTATTTTGTACCTCCAAGCGGGACTTTCACGGGTTGAGGTGTTGCGGGCGGGATTTTGAGGGTTTATAGGTTTAGGGTTTAGGGTTTAGGGTTTGGGGAATATTGTCAGGGTTTAGGGTTTAGGGTTTGGGAGGGTTTAGGGTTTCGGTTTAGGACACGAAGGGCTTGGAGATTTTGGGGCCCTCGGCCCCCAAAAGAGACCTGCAGATTGCTGAGCAAAGGAGAAAACAAAGGAGGCTCTCTCCCTCTCTCCTTCCCTCTTCCTCCCTCTCTCCTTCCCTCTCCCTCCTCTCCCTGTCTCTCTCCCTCTCCCCCTCTCTCTGTCCACAAGCTTTAGCATTCTACGCACATGTGAAGTCCAGGTCCGAGGTGAGGGGCTTCTGGGCCTGAACTGGGTGGGTTAAGGTGGTATACCTAGGGACGCTGAGGGATACTTTGAGATTTGAAAGGGCGTTTAGGGGTATTCAGGGGGGGCTATTCAGGGTTTTTTCGGTGAATTACGTAGTTCGAGCATAGCTTGCTTATTTCACTGCCTTAAGCCAACAGGGCTTCCTCGGGTGGCCATTCTCGCAGTCATCATCAGCGCCATCATGTCTCAGCACGAAATCATGGCTTTGGCTATCTTTTTGCAAAGCCCATGTTTGTCTGCTAAGATTTATGCCTAAACCCTAAACCCCAAACCCTAAACCTAAACCCGGATTCCGTTAGGGGATCAGCCGATACAATGGGAAGGAAAGACACGCACGCATGCAAACTTGCGAGGGGCAGCCGTACAACAAAACAACGCTAAACCCTAAACCCCAAAACCCTAAACCCCAAACCCTAAACCCTAAACCCCAAACCCTAAACCCCAAACCCTAAACCCTAAACCCCAAACCCTAAACCCTAAACCCCAAACCCCAGACCTCAAACCCTGAACCCTTGAGGTGGCGGTGGCGGTGGAAAGTCGGGATGGCCTGGAGTCGGCTGCCTGTTAGGGTTTAGGGTTTAGGGTTTAGGGTTTAGGGTTTAGGGTTTAGGGTTTAGGGTTTAGGGTTTAGGGTTTAGGGTTCACGTGGTTTCAGGGTTCAGGTTTCGGGTGTCAGGGTTTAGGGTTCGAGGGTTTCATGGTTTCAGGGTTTCGGGGTTTCAGGGTTGGAGGGTGTTAGGGTGTTAGGGTTTGAGGGTTTTAGGGCTTCAGGGTTTGAGGGCTGAAGGGTTTGAGGATTCGGGATTTAGGGCTTCGGGTTTTGCAGAGGGTTTTATAATTTTAGGGTTGAGGGTTTTCGGGTTTGAAGGCTGTAGTGTTTGAGAGTTTTAGGGTCTGAGGTTGAGATGCTCCCCCCTTCTACCAACAGTCCTGATTAGGGAGTGTAGTACCTCCCATTATAATCCTGATTAAGGACTTAAACCCTAAGCCCTAAACCCTAAACCCCAAACCCTAAACCCTGTTAGTACAAGGGGGAACATCCCAAGTTTGAGGGTTCGAGGGTTCGAGGGTTTGAGGGTTTTGGGGGTTCACCCTCTGCAGCTGCGCGTTGACCCCTTGAACCCTACTCCTCCCCCCAGCTCCAGAAGCCCTAAACCCTAAACCCTAAACCCCAAACCGGGAGGAACCGCCAGCCCTTGGCCCAGGTGTGGCCTGGACGTGCCACTTCAAGTGGGCGGATCCGTCCTGCAGGGGGGCCCTGGAAGTCCTCAGCGCAAAATCCTAAACCCAACTGGGGGTTTGTTCTACATTGTGGTCCCTTTGTGGGTTAGGGTTTAGGGTTAAGGGTTAAGGCGTAAGGGTTAAGGGTTAAGGGTTAAGGGTTTAGGGTTTAGGGTTTAGGGTTTAGGGTTAGGCTCCTTCCGGTAACATAATACAGAACGGACTGGCAAAGGGAGGTAGAACATTTTGTTTGCAAACTTAAGTCGATCTTGCTGCAAATGCTGTGCAAAGGGGCACAAAATGAAGATGAAGGGCCCTTCATGTGGAGCCCATACTTGAAAACTCTAGACTCTATAGACCCTCCTACTTTATTCATGCGACCAAGATCTGTGACCGACAGCGGAACCGGAGTGGGCAGGTTGGTTGATGCCGGGTGGCTCAAGGAAGAGGACTCAGACCCTACACCCAAAACCCCCAAAACCCCCCAAACCGGCCCTTATTCCCTTTTTCTAGGGTTTAGGCTCCCTTATATGTTCATGTCATGGCCCGGTAGAAGTCAGAGAAGGCCGAGGGGGCGCGGCTGGAGCGGAAGGGCTACAAATGCACTGAAGTCGAAGTCGATGTGGGGAGATGGCTTTGCAGTCGGAAGGTGTGATTCGCGCTCGTCCTGTCCCAGGTTCGGCTTCGAGAATGGGATCGAGAACTTTGAAAGTCTGGAGCTCAGTGTCGGGGGGTTTTTAGGCAGGGTTTTAGGGTTTCGGGTTGAGGTGCCGCCTCTTAGTACCGTACCCGGAGTAATAAGGAGTAGTCTGTAAGGGAGCCCCAGAATGAAAACATACCGTTGAGGGTGTAGGGCCTATGTGGGGTCATGGGCCTTTGATGCAATGCAGTTGCTGCTGATGCGCTGGGTGCCGCTGTATTGTCTGGGTAGCCTTGACCCTAACCTTAAGCCCTAAACTCCACCTAACCCTAACCCTAAGCCCCCAAAACCTTTCAGACGATGCCACACTGTTCCCAGAACTTCGTGGGCTGATTGGTTTGACGGAGGAGGACGAGGACTGGGGCGCTGCAGCTACCGGAGTCAACAGCATGCAAGAGTTTAACCCTAAACCCTAAACCCTAAACCCTAAATCCTAAACCCTAAACCCTAAACCCTAAACCCTAAACCCTAAACCCTAAACCTAAACCCTAAACCCTAAACCCTAAACCCCCTAAACCCTAAACCCCCTAAACCCTAAACCAAAGAGAAGCCTGCAACAAGGTAGGTGAGGCCGAGCCGAAGCGCTGCCTGCGACAACCACAAGTAGCCCGAGGTCGTGAAAGGTTTAGGGTTTAGGGTTTAGGGTTTAGGGTTTAGGGTTTAGGGTTAGGGTTTAGGGTTTAGGGTAAACTAGCTTGTTGTCAGTCTCCTAAAATTGGTGCCCTTTTTGAGTACCCATTACAAGGGGCGGCACCCCTTTGAAAAGGGATCCCCAGAAAGGGGCCCTAATTTAGAGAACGACCCTGTGATTCCTAGCTTGCTGTCTGACGAGTTCTTTGGCACGTTCTTTTCTTCTCGTTCGGGCATGGTCTACTTCCTGCACCTAAGATGCGAAACCCTAAACCCTAAACCCTAAACCCTAAACCCTAAACCCTTAACCCTTAACCCTTAACCCTAAACCCTAAACCCTAAACCCTAAACCCTAAACCCTAAACCTCAATGGTGGGCAGGACCCTCGGGACAGTGTGGAGCGAGTCTGGTTGCCCGTGTACAAGTTCGAGGCCGCGAGTAGCTTCTGAGGCATGAGTACTTGTCCTGGGTTTAGGGTTTAGGGTTTAGGGTTTAGGGTTTAGGGTTTAGGGTTTCGCAAGGGGTTTTTTTGCATACTACTGGTAGTAGCAGGATACCAAATAATCCCCTAAGAGTGCACATGACATTTAGCAAGGTTTGCTACAGGGGCTATCTGCCCCATCTTCTCTGCAGCCACCCCCCTGAATTTCATTGTATAAACGCTTGCGCGTGCCGCCTCGGCAGCCCGGCGGCCCAGAGCATGCAGTATGTGGAGATGATGTAAGCCTAAACCCTAAACCCTAAACCCTAAACCCTAAACCCTAAACCCGGGCCTGGGAGGCGGCCTCTGGGAAAGTCCCGTCCCACAGCGGGGTCCCAGTGGGCGGAAGGGTTGGTTAGGGGGAAGGAGCCAGGCACAAAATTCTGCGCGGAAGGAAGGGTGGGTAAGTAGGAGAAAATTTTGTCTAAATTTATAGTAATTTCTATTATTTTCAATTTTTTGAGGCGAGCCGCCGACAGGCGGGACCCTCCACGAAATCGGTTTGCAGCTGCTCCAAGCGATCGGGGAGGGTCCCACAGGGCAGGGGGGTGGGCACTAACTCACTTCAGATCTCACATCACCGGATGGCTAGCGCTGCCCTCTTCCCTTTTTGGGGATCTGCGTTCCTTCTAAGGCTAGCCCTCACTATTGTGACATCGCGGTTGATCTATAGATTCATGGGCAACAGGATAAGACCCCAAACCCTAATGCCCCTCCCTAAACCCTAAGGGCCCTAAACCCTAAACCCTCAACCCTAAGGGCCCTACACCCTAAACCCGTTCTCCCGAAAGGTCCCGCAGGCCCTGGCGGGCGTACCGTGGTCGCAGCGCTCCGGGAGCATGATGCTGGACGACAAGGACAAAGCTTCTTAGGGACTGGAGTTTAGGGTGTAGGGTTAAGGGGTGAATTAGGGTTTAGGGTTGAGGGTTTAGGGTTTAGGGTAACCTTTAACCTTTTTAGGTTGAAATAAAGATTCCTACTATATATGAACGGTGAACCTTTTTCGGGCTGGGGTATTCAGCCCCTAAGACGTCAACTTCGGGTCTGCGGTTCCACGAAGTTGGGTTTAGGGCAATTTGAGGGTTTTCCTGCGGTTTAGGGTTTAAGGCTTTAGGGTTTGGGGTTTAGGGTTTAGCCCCAATTCTGCACTACAGAATAGAAGAAAGGCACAACCAGGGCAATGATTCTGAGCAGCCCTGTGCAGCTGAGCTGTTTCAACCCCTAAGCTAATGCGTGGAGGACGGCACGTTCTAGAAGCTCAAGGGTCTTGAGGGGCTTAGGGATTATTTAGGGTTTAGGGGTTCAGGGTTTTACAGGTTTAGGGTTTTGAGGTTTAGGCTTGAGGGGTTTAGGGTTTCACCTCACCAGGTTCGGGTACCTCAATGGGGCAGTGAGGGCATCTTTTGGGGTTCTGAGCTTGTTGACATTCTTCTAAAACACGGCCCCCAAAACCCTAAATCCTAAACCCCACAACCCTAAATTCTAAACCCTAAATCCTAAACCCTAAAACCCTAAACCCTAAACCCTAAACCCTAAACCCCTGATTCCTGAGAAACAAGCGTCAGGACAACAACGTCGACTCCGCGGCCTCTCGGCCTTGAGACGAGGGACCCTAAACCCTAAACCCTAAACCCTAAACCCTAAACCCTAAACCCTAAACCCTAAACCCTAAACCCTATATAGAAGAAAGCACCCAGCGAGTCAGGGCCGAGAACAGAGTCCTGGCAAAGCAAGCTGAACAGCAAGCCCAGATTCTGCTCCTGCAGCTCGAGCAGGACCTTCCGTACGAACGGCCCAATTTGCCGCCGATGCAGATCCTTGACGAGGACCTGAGGAACGAGAGCGTCGAAACCGCACTGAGTTAGCTCCGAAACCCTAAACCCTAAACCCTAAACCCTAAACCCTAAACCCTAAACCCTAAACCCTAAACCCTAAACCCTAAACCCTAAACCCTAAACCCTAAACCCTAACCAGCTCCTGGAGCTCTTCGGGAATCAAGCTTCTGAGCACTCCAGAACTTTGGAGGCTTCCAAGTTCAGCTGCCATCGACCACGCCAAAGGGCCCCTCATTAATATGGACCCCAAATAGGAGGATTCCCGTATAAGGACCCCGAGAGGGTACCCCGAATCTCGGAACCCCCCCCCCATATAGTAGCTCTGTCTATGTATGGTGGTTTTGGCCGGCCCTCCCCCGCCTCACTGTGGTGCGTTGAGGGCTTTTGGGATCGTAGGGTTTAGGCGCTTTCCTTCGGGCTTAGGGTTTGGGTTTTAGGGTTCTGGGTACAGTATATAACAGAAATAAAGAGTTAGGGTTGGGAATCATGCAGAGTCCTATATAGTCCACACCCACACCCACCCTAAACCCTACGTACCCGCAAGGCCCGCGTACCGGTAGACTGGAACACTTTTTGACAGCAAGCCCCGAAACAGAAGCGGCATTTTGGGAGGTTTTTCAGGGAACCTCTTAGGGGTACATCCTTAGGGGTCCTAGAATGACGAAGCCCCGCCTGACACTCTATGTACCTACAGTTTAGTAGCAGCTACCCTTGAATTAGTAGGTAGAAACCCCATAAGGACTGTAGTCCCCGGCAAAGCCTCAAAATCTTAACGCAAGGAACGAAAGGAGGGACCCTTATAAGGGACCTTAGCGGTTCTTTGGGGCTTGTTTAGGGGCTGCCTAGGTATATCGGGACTATGTAATGTGTATGTATATAAGGGTTATGTAGGGGAATAAGATTAAGGGTCCCTAAACCCAAACCCCTAAACCCTAAACCCTAAATCCTAAACCCTAAACCCTCCTTATACCCCTTAATCAACCCTCAGCATCGTGATAAGGTAGGGGCTGCACATCGGCGCGAGCTTGCAGCGAGCTCAGAGCCTCTCCGCGGCTCCCTGGGTGGTTTTAGGGTTTAGGGTTTAGGGTTTGGGGTTTAGGGTTTAGGGTTTAGGGTGACTTTCCACCAGGTAAGGTAAAAGGCTAGATTGGCTTTCGGGATATCTTGTAAATTCGTTTTTTGGGGTTTATACGGGACTTTTTTTTCAGAGGGTTTCAACGCCAACCCAGATAGGGTTTGGAGTTTAGGGTTTGCCCTAAACCCTTTTCGCAAGCTAGGCGACCCTAGAATTTTAATTTGCCCTATGCGCCTTTTTGGCTAGACCCTAAGCCCTAAACCCTAAGCCTGAACCCTGAACCTAACCCTAAACCCTAAACCCTAAACCGTGCTTAGTTTGGCCGAGGATCTTGACTTCTCGCACGAGTGAATGAGATCCTGATGCCCAACATGAGTTTGGGGCTTCGGGCTTAGGGTTTTGGGTTTAGGGACCTATCTTAGACCCTAAACTACACCCTAAGACCCTAGACCCTAAACCCCAAACCCCAAACCCTAAACCCTACTCCGCCCCTTAGCTTGGGGTGCTCTGGGGTCAGCTCCGTCACGCCGCAAAAGGCCGAGATGAGTGACGAGGAGGACCTGCACCTCCTCAGCCAGGCCGGAGCCCTGGCCGCCCCTAAACCCTAAACCCTAAACCCTAAACCCTAAACCCTAAACCCTAAACCCTAAACCCTAAACCCTAAACCCTAAACCCTAAACCCTAAACCCTAAACCCTAAACCCTAAACCCTAAACCCTAAACCCTAAACCCTAAACCCTAAACCCTAAACCCTAAACCCTAAACCCTAAACCCTAAACCCTAAACCCTAGCCGTTTGCACCGACGTATACCGCATATCCCTAAGCCCCAGAGACGCTAAAATCCTAGGAAGGAGACCTTCAATCCTTTGAAAGCAAGCCCCAAATCCCAGGGTTTTAGGGGTTTACGGGTTTGTGGCTTTGGGGTTTAATAGTTTAGGGCATAATTTAGGTCCTTTGAATATATCTTACTTGCAGCTCGGCGGAGGAATGGGGAGGCGGCGTAAGGTATTTGGGCTTAAGATGCAGATCCCTGTGCCTACTGGCGGCTGCATGTATGTTCCTGTTGCGCTCGCTCGCGCTCCGCACAGAAAATCCTAAACCTTTCAACTAAGGCCGTGGTCAAACCCGTTTTCTGACCCGAGTAAACTTGATTGAGCCGCAATCTGTCAGCCCTTGTATACACGATCAGGACTAAGATAGGTCAGGTCCACGCTAAGCCATTAGATATCTGCACTGCCTGCAAGCCAGTCGCTGCTGAAGCCCGCAAGGGGTTTCATTGCGAAAAAGCGCAGACCTTTCTTCGTTTTCTTGGGATATGGGGCGAACCCCAGCTAAAGCCACTTGAAGCCTAAAAACAACCCTAAACCCTAAACCCTAGACCCTAAACCCTAAACCCTAAACCCTAAACCCTAAACCCTAAACCCCCCAAGCCGCCTCAACAGCCTTAGAGCCCCCTCTTCTGGGTGCTTCAGGTCAAGCTCCTGGGAAGGGCCTGGGCCTCGACCTCTCAGGCAAAGGCGAGAGGCTTCTTTTGGGGTTTTGGGCTTCAGGTTTAGGGTTCAGGGTTCAGGGTTTAGGGTTTAGGGTTCAGGGTTTAGGGTTTAGGGTTTCGGGTTTAGGGTCTAGGGTTTAGGGTTTAGGGCCCCAAGCCTTAAAAACCTAGACCTAAGACTTCCATCTAAGCTCCAAAAACCCCCAGGCTTCGGGGTGACCTCAGGGAGTTGAAGGTTCAGGGTTTAGGGTTTAGGGTGGTAGGGTTTAGGGTTTAGAGTTTAGAGTTTAGGGTTTAGGGTTTAGGGTTAGGTTTCATTTAGTCAGGAGATGTTGTTGGGTTTCGGGCTTGACTTAGGGTTTCTGGCCAGGGCTCTTGGCTCAGAGCCGTTGCTTGGGCCAAGCTCCTGGTCCACGTTATCTTACAACCCCAATCCTCTAAACCCTAAACCCTAAACCGTAAACCCTAAACTATAAACCCTAAACCCTAAACCTGTGCAGAGGACGCAGAGGACCCTGACATCTACAGTATACATCTTACCCAACACCCTGTCGCCTGGATGCCTCGTTTTCATGTGGGCTTTGGGGAGCTTCGTGTCTGTTGAGGGGGCGCGCCCGCCGGCTGCAAGCCTCACGCAGCCCAAAACCCAAAGCCCCAAACCCACAGCCCCAAAGTCTTGGAAACTCCCCCCCCCCCCCTCCTAAACCCTAAACCCGAAAACGTTAGACCCTAAACATCCCGAAACCCTAAACCCTAAACCCTCAACCCCATAAACCCTAAATCGCCCTATGCCCTAAGCTTTCGAGGTCGGGCCAACGAAGTCCGCGCCGCCCGCCTTCACGCCGGCATCGGCGATGACACCGGCGGTCACGCCTGCGGCGCGCACGCCGGCGACGCTGACGCCACAATCCAGGACCTGGAAGACCCAGAACTGCAAAACCAACATGTGGGTTTCCAAAATTCGGGGGTACCTTGTTGGGATCCCTATTATAAGGGAATCCGGGAATCCGACTATTTGGGGGGTCTATGTCAGAGCTCCCTTGTTTCGCAAGCTCACTCCCATATGGTCATGTGTTCCAAGAATATGCGCATCACTGATATACCCCAGAAGTGCAATCCTTATTCAGGCCCCGGGGGCGGGGGGGACTTCTAAACATTTTTGTGGTACGTACCCGTTTGTAGCATTGTGGAGCAGCCACCTAGGCCTGAAGGCCCTCAGCCCCAAACCAACGTAAGTCTCTAGACGTAAATCCTTTGTATGGCATGCAGCTTTGGGACTGAAGGATTCAGGATTGCGCCGGTGTCTGTTAAGCAGGGAGGGCTGCTCGATGCCCTAAACCCTAAACCCTAAACCCTAAACCCTAAACCCTAAACCCTAAACCCTAAACCCTAACCCTAAACCCTCAATGCACCAGGTCTACGGGTTCAGGAAGTTTAGGGTTCTCGTGCCCTTGGGCTTCAAGGTTGCTCCTGCTTAGGGTTTTTAGGCGTTTTAGGGTCTAGGGCTGTTGCTGGGGCGCCCCCCAGCCCTGCAAAAGCATGATCCTTGGATTTTGCGCAAAAGGGTTTAGGGTTTAGGGTTTAGGGTTTAGGGTTTAGGGTCTATGGCGCGAGGCTTGCGGAGGTGGCCTCATGCCCCTCAATCCGCAAACCCATGCGACAGAAGTACACCACGACTGGGATGTTCCCCCTTATGCGAACAGTCAGCGAACGAACAGTCCTTACCAGGGATTAGGGTTTAGGGTTTAGGGTTAGTACCCCTACTATAATCCCAATTAAGGACTGTTAGTATACGGGGGAGCCATCCCACTCGATACCCTTTCTGAATCAATCGCTTGCTCCCAGGACCAAGACCCCAGAGACGACGCAGCAGACCTAGAGACGAACTGTGGATGTTTACTGAAGAAACCATGTTCAGTTTAGGGTATCTAGGGCTTAGCTTCAGCTTGAAATCCCGAAATACCCTCAGTTTAGGGCTGTAGCAGAACGGAAGGTTTTTTTGGGCCCGGCGGTCAGCTCTACAACGTAGCAGGTGATAATATACCAGCTGGTTGCTGGGTACAGCACCCCAAAGCAGCTTGGAACCAGGTGCGAAGTGATGGGTCTAGTTCTCATGTCTGAAAGCTTTGGATGTTGAAGGGCTTTCAAGCTGCTTAGGGTTTAGGGTTTAGGGTTTAGGGTTTAGGGTTTAGGGTTTAGGGTTTAGGGTTTAGGGTTTAGGGTTTAGGGTTTAGGGTTTAGGGTTTAGGGTTTAGGGTTTAGGGTTTAGGGTTATCTGTCGCACTCTTCGATGCAATTCGAAGCTAGTTACCGACCTACCAGGTAGATCTTCCACCCGGGTCAGGTCGTGCATATCGGGAGTGCATGTGTTCCCTGATTGGCTTGGCGAGGGTTATGTTTCGGAAATTGTTTCCAGAGGCTTTAAACATGCAAGCCTCGAAACTCTCGTCATGAAGCTTCGCATTTACCCCTCCGAGCTTCCGATAAACCCCTCAAAAATTCCGCACAGCAGACCGACACGAACCTGCCAGAGCGGCTTAGTCCCTAAACCCTAAACCCTAAACCCTAAACCCTAAACCCTAAACCCTAAACCCTAAACCCTAAACCCTAAACCCTAAACCCTAAACCCTAAACCCTAAACCTGGGGCTCATTTCGCAAGGCTCACCCTGGACCCTAACCCTCAGCCCCAAAACCCGAGGGTCCGAAGCGCCGAAAGCCAACAACCCCCCAGTGTGTCAGACCTGCAAGCTCCTCTCTTTTGGTTTAGGGTTTAGGGTTTAGGGTTTAGGGTTTAGGGTTTAGGGTTTAGGGTTTAGGGTTTAGGGTTTAGGGTTTTGTGAATTTGCGAATAAAGAAATTACCAAAGGGCCACCATGTTCTCTGAGTCCCGTGGTCCGAGTCTAACCCACCCCTGGTTGCTGGGGGTTAAACCCCAGAATACTGAAAGCTGGGGAAGCGCATTTTTCCAACTCTGATGTATGGTTTCTGAGTATGTTCTACATTTTTCCAACTCTGGAATATGATTGTTGAGTATGTTCCCCCATCTCAAGCCCCTAAACCCTAAACCCCTAGCCCTAAGCCCAAACCTTGTCCCTAAACCCTAAATGCCAGCCCTCGCAAGAGGCCAAAGCGAAACCAAGCCCCGGGGAGGAAGGGCGCCCGGATGCCCAAGGCCTTCCCTTCCGGCAGGGTAGGGTCTTCCTGGTTGTAGGGTTTCGGGTTTAGGGTTTAGGGCTTGGAGTTTCGGGTTTGGTTTAGGGGGTTTAGGGTTTGGAGTTTAGGGTTTAAGGTCTGCAGAGCTGTAGGGTTCAGGGTCGCATTTGGCTTGGGATGGTCCTAAGCCCTCTAGACCAACTCGGCAAGCCCTGAACATCAAATCCAAACGTATCGCGTGGTCGTGCCTTTTTATAGCATGTCACTACAGGTTTGGGTTGAGTGCTTGACAGGAGTAAACATCCCCACGTGAACTTGTTTTAGATCTTACTGCGAGTGTGTTCGGGCTGCCCCTTCTAATGGCTTCCTTCCGGCGACTGGTACTTTGGGCTAGGGGTCATCATATGTTCAGCTGACTAAGGTCTGGTCTGTTTTTGGGTACCCTAGATAATCGGGGCCGCCTTAGGCTCGTAGCCCCAAAACGGACCATAGTTAGAGAAATGCCCATATAGCTTTGTGGTGCTTTATTGTAACTTTACATCTTTAGCCTTTTTGGGTTTATTGGGTTTCTTAATAAGGCAGCTGCAAGTTTAGTTTTTTTGCTACCCTCCTAAGTGCAGCCAAGATAGGTGCAGATAACACGACATGAGGTGCAGGGCTGCAGCTTCCATGTTTGCTTGAAGCCTGGCAAACCAATGCGCGTTGGCAGTGCTCCATCAGCGGCAATGCAAAGCTGTATGCACCCAAGCATACGAGTCACAGGAAAGTTTCCACATATATTTCGAGCTAGTGGACGAATACACAGATGCTGGCATTTAAGAACATTTAGGCGAGGTCTAGGTCTCAAGCGCCTCAAGCCATGGCGAAGGCATCAGGGGCCATGTCGAAACGTGCCTCAGCCACGAAGATGGCGAAGACCGATGAGAAGCTGCGAAAGGCGATTCAAGCAATAGTTCGACACACGCAGCAGGCGAATCTGAGAGAGTTGATGGAGCTCTTGCGCGAACGCCCCCAAACTGTGGCGATGTTGTTGTCCTGCATCAAGGCGGGACATTTCGACAGCTTGGACAAACACACGACAGATGACAAAGATGCAGATGCAGAGCCACAGTCCGACTCAGGTGTAGCTTGAATGCAGAACCATCGCCCAGCTTCGTTTGATTCAGAAGTGGTTACATGGAGGGTCCATTTGTATTGCAGTACTTGTATGGCAGGTAGGAACCCAGAAGCCACAAATGGACCCTCTGGCTTAGCTGACCCAGCTGAGCAGCAGATGTGCGGAAGAGCCCTCTGCCTGTGGGTCTCTTCAGGGTTCTCTTGGCAGGGGTCATGGCAGGCATGGAGTCTTAGCCCGAAGTGTTTTTATCGCAGCCCTTGCAACTTCTGAGGTCTTGTGCGCAGTGGTTTAACAGCAACAGTTCTCTCTGAGCTTCCCACTTTGTACAAGATGCCTGCCAGCCCTTGTGAAACGGGGTGAGTGCGCCAGAGGGACCTGGCCTTGGACGTGCAGAAAAGCTGCTGCGGAGCTTGTCAGCCGTGGAGCCCTAAACCCTGAACCCTAAACCCTAAGCCCTAAGCCCCAAACCTTAAGCCCTAAACCCTGAACCCTAAACCCTAAACCCTAAACCATGCACCGAGCCGGCATGAAAGATTCTCCTGCAGCTTGTTCACCCTGGAATGAGGTCTGCATCCTCTTAGTAACCCTTGGAGGGATTGTTTTCACAACGTAATTCCCGAGTTAGATCTGTTAGATCTCCTAAGCCCTAAACCCGAAACACTAGTAGTTTAGGGTTTAGGGTTTAGGGTTTCGGGTTTCGGGCTTCGGGTTTAGGATTCCCCGAGTAGTTCTTAGGTACTTGGAGCTGTCAGCCGTAGGTGCCAGAGCTGCGCGCTCCGGAGATGTGCGGCATCGTGCGGGCAGAGGGGAAGACCCAGTGGCTACTAGAGCTGCACTGTTCAGGACAACCCTAAATCCTAAGCCATGAGCCCCAAACCCTATATGGCTACATGGGATTCTCTTTCGTGGAGCTTTCTGAGCTCAGAAATAGGGGCTTGGGGTGTGCGCAGCTTCATTCTCAGTTCGGTGTTTGCAAGGGCGTTTCCGGGTTTAGGGTTTTAGGCTTTAAGGTTCGGTTTTGGGTTTTAGGGTTTAGGGTTTCGGGTTTGAATTGGAGTTTAGGGTGCGCATCACTTCCTTGCTGATTTGTTTATCAGCTTGAGGTAGCCAGGTGGAAGTAGGATGAAGCAACCCCACCGACTTGTGCAAGGTCTGTGGGTCAGCTGCGGGCGCTCTGAGCCATTGTAACTCCTGATCCCTAAGTCCTAAGTCCAAAACCCTAAACCCTAAACCCTAAGCCGTGTGGTGCTCAACCTGAACTCCCTCACACCCTTGAAGCCCCCAAGCCTCAGCCGACAAGGCCCACTCCACACCATACACCCTAGACAGAGGGTTTATGGTTTAGGGCTTAGGGCTTAGGGCTTAGGGTTTAGGACCCAAAGGCCTGAGCCCTACAAACCCTACAAGCCCGACAATCCCATAAGCCCTCTGCTATAATCCGCAGAAGCCCTATACTTGCAAAGCCTTAAAGGCGAAACCCTAAACTGTAAACCCTACACCCTAAACCCTAAAACGCCTCAACAGCCCAAGGTTCCCCTCCGTGGACGAGGCCGAATCGGGGAGGGGGAAGTGCACGTCAGAGGCTGATTTAGGACTCCGCCTCAGGGCCTAAACCATAAACCCTGAACCGAAGCCTTCACCTCGAAACCCTGTACAGTTCGAACAACGTGTGTTTCCTCCTGCCCCCCCCCCAGATGTATGTGTGTGTGTGTGTGTGTTTAGGGGTCTTAGTCTTATCTCGACCAGAGGCAATGTCTGTCTGGTATGGAAGCCTAGACCCTGAACCCTGAACCGTACACCTTCACTTAAAACCTGAACCCTAAACCCTAAGCCTCAACCCTAAACCCTGTACCCTAAACTCTCTAAACCTGGCCCAGGTCCTAGATGAAGGTGACCTCATGATCTTGTCCCAGGGTAGCGCCACCAGCCCAGACGAGCTTTTAGTCCGGATTTTGGAATTTTTGGGCGCGACACTCTTGGGTTTAGGGGTCAGGATTGGGCCTTGCTATAGGGCTTGTTTAACTACAGCCATGTGTTGGGGTAGGTTATATCATGGCAGTTTAAGGGTTAAAAAGAACTGATAGTGGATGCAGGGCCATCAGGCTTCCGTGTTAAACGGTTTTGGGTTTGGGTTTCGGCTCATACTGGGCGCTGCAGTAGAGAGTTTTTGAGAAGACAGATGCTAGTTGTCCCCCCCATCTCCCCATCTATACATCTAGCAGAATTTAGCATCGCAGAGTAGGGTTGGAAGTTGTGCATGCTACGTAGTGCAGCAGCGGCGGCGGCACGGCAGCGTTTTCCCTTGGCGCGGACCTTTCCATAAGTACTCCCTAAACCCGAAATCTTAGCCTAAACGCTAAACCCTCAATCTTTGGGTCAGGGGTGAAGAGTCCCGTGCAACCCCGGATTCTCTGCTTTCGTGCTGTTGGCTCAAGTCCCTTAATCGAACCGAACCTGCATAGCTTCTCTACCCTTTTGTCTTGCAGACGCTCAGAGGCTTGAGTTTGCATCAGGACCCTGCCCACACTCAAAGCTATAGACATGAAGAGCACACGGCGCCTCAACGTGCTCAACCCAACTTCCAGACTTCTAAAACCGTTCAAATGCTGACGTAGGGCCCGGCATGCCATTGCGCACCCCTTCTTGGCATGGGTCGCAACATGAGGCGGGCAAGAGCGAGTTTTGACCCTAGACCCTAAACCCCAAACCCTTTTGGCTGCGCTGCGTTGTTGTACTAAGACCGCCATCAGAGAGAATCAACCAGCGCGGTCTTGGTTGATGGAGTTGTGAATTCATGCGTTTCGTTTATGAGCATTTGTATTCGTGACAGTTTTGAACATGCTGCTTTCTGTTTTGTGCTTTTGGCGAGACATTTGTGAGAAGTGTTCGCTCGAATGTGCAAGGATTACGAAGCTTGTATCCTGCGCTGCAATTTGCGCCTTGTGCTCTGTGCTTTTCTTACCATGTTTGGTTTGATCCTACGTCGCCAGTCCTCCAAATTATCTTCTCGGGTGCGCTAAATATGAGGGGGCCGCCTAATCGTGGCGGATATTGACAAACTGACGTTTTTTCGAAATCAGGTGGGGGATTGGGGGAGAGGAGGTGACCTTCTCATCAATGTGGTTTAGGGTTCACAGTTCAGGATTTACAGTTTAGGACGGGTTAGGGTTTAATGCTCTTCCTTGAACCCTTAAGGTTGTCCCCTTGGGCTTCGGGGTCCCTTTCTAAGGATCCGGCCAGAGTAGGAGGATATTAAGGCGAACCTTTAGGGGTACAACCTTAGGGGTACGAGTCTTCATCCCTTGAATTTAAGGCCCCAAACCCTAAACCCTCAACCCTAAACCCGAAACCCCAAACCCTAAACCCTAAACCCTGGTAACCCCTTGAACTACGGGCTCTGGCTTGCCAGGCTCGTTCCTTGGCTCTGGGGTTTGCTCACGCCAACTTGGTCGACGCTGGTGGCGTGGGAAGATGAGGAGGTCCTGCTGCTGCAGAAGGACACGGCCCTGAACCCTAAACCCTAAACCGGAAACTCTGTAAACCCTAGACCCTAAACCCAAACCCTGAACCCTGAACCCTGAACCCTACTTAAACCCTAAACCCTAAAAGAGCGGCTTTAAGGCCGAGGGCTCCTGGCGCCTATGACCCTAAACCCCCAAAGCCCCCAAACCCTCATTTAGGGTTTAGGGTTTGGGGTTTAGGGTTTGGGGTTTGGGGTTTAGGGTTTAGGGTTTAGGGTTTAGGGTTTAGGGTTTGGGGTTTAGGGTTTGGGGTTTAGGGTTTAGGGCTTAACCGCAAAACCCGAAAACCCGCCTTGCGATGCTCAGACAGGAGCTTCGCCTGGCACAGGCCATGCCACGCCCCGCGCGGTGGAGCTGCGAGGCATCCTACACCCTCTTGGGGTTTAGGGTTTAGGGTTTAGGGTTTAGGGTTTAGGGTTTAGGGTGTAGGGTCACCCTAAACCCTGAACCCGAAACTCTTCTGGGTTCAGGCTTTGGGTGGGTTTTCCTGCATCCCCCCCCTTCGTTCTGGAGATACAAGCTCCCACAACTGAAAGGGGGAGGCCCTAAACCCTAAACCCTAAAACCTAAAACCTAAACCCTAAACCCTAAACCCAAACCCTAAACCCTAAACCCTAAAACCTAAACCCTAAACCCTAAACCCTAAACCCTATTTTTTACTGTTCGGCTCCTCTGGCTTCGCGGTACGAGTCCACAAGCTTACCAGGTCATGTCGCGGCAGCCCCCCCAAAATTCTCATTAGGGTTTAGGGTTTAGGGTTTAGGGTTTAGGGTTTAGGGTTTAGGGTTTAGGGTTTAGGGTTTAGGGTTTAGGGTTTAGGGTTTAGGGTTTAGGGTTGTTTAGCCTTCAGGGTGTAGGGTTTGGGGTTTAGGCGGGGGGGGGGGGGGGGGGGGTGGGAGGTTCTAAACAACCTCCAACTCAGGGATTCATTGTCAAGTGGGTGCCTAATTCCTAAAGCCACACAATGCTAAATTTCTAAATTCACTGCAAGAAAAAAACGGGCTGAAATTAAGGTTTTTTCAGGTGGGCTGATTTCAGTTCGTCGTTGCAGAGAGAGATCAGATTTTAGATTGATGTCAATGATTGCAGCTGTGAAAAGCTGGCTCGAGTGCCTGAGCCTACCATTAAGCAGCGCTGTTTCAAGGAGTCTTCGGCATCGGTACCATACCTAAAAACGAAAGAACGAACAAAAGAAGGAACGAACGAAAGAAAAAGAGAAATAAAGAAAAGAAAGAAAGAAGGCAATAAGGAAACAGATAGAGAGATGGAGAGAGAGCAGCCCAATACGTCCACATTTTCTCTTGTCAGTCAGCACTGATAGAGTCGGGTCGTCGCCAGAGTCGAAACACTAATTTTTGAGTCACTGAGTAAACTGAGCAAGCCCAGCCCCTAACCCTCCTAAACATGACTGCCCTACACCCCTACTCACCCTCCCGCACTCCACCCCAGCCAACGACCGCCCCCCTGCCACCCCCACCACCCCACCCCCGCACCCCGCGCAGCGGAGAAAAAAAAGTTGTGGGTTCAAAGGGCAACCAGTGGGGGGGGTGGTGGGGGCGGAAGGGGGAGAGAGGGAATAACAGAGAGGCCAGCCCCGCGCAGCGGAGGAAAAAATTGTGGGTTCAAAGGGCAACCAGTGGGGGGAGGTCGGAAGGGGGAGAGAGGGAATAACAGAGGCCAGCCCCGCGCAGCGGAGAAAAAATGCCGAGACCTGCCTGATTCCTTAATTTCAGCTCCGGTTTTTTTTTCATAAAAAAAGAAACTGAAATTAAGAACTGGGTTACATGGCCACAATTCCTGACACCAGCTGCAAAATCCTTAATTTCAGCTCCGTTTTTTATAAAAAAAGAAACTGAAATTAAGAACTGGGATACATGGCCACAATTCCTGGCACCAGCTGCAAAGTCCTTAATTTCAGCTCCATTTTTTTTTATAAAAAAATGGAGCTGAAATTAAGGATTTTGCAGCTTGGACCAGGAATTGTGGCCATGTAACCCAGTTCTTAATTTCAGTTTCATTTTTTTGTAATAAAAGAACGGAGCTGAAATTAAGGAATCACCGCATGGCCGTGGAAATTCGGAGTTGCTGCCACGGGGTGCGGGGTGGGGGGGGGAGGGGGTGGGGGGCGGGGGAGGAGGGGGGAGGACGGGGGCTGGGCGCAGTAGGGGGTGGGGGGTCCGCGGGGGGTGGGGGGTCCGCGGGGGGGGGGGGTGCCCTTAATTTCAGCTCCGTTTTTTTTATAAAAAAACGGAGCTGAAATTAAGGAATTTTGTTTCCTGAGAATTCCTGGCGCCAGCTGCCAAATCCTTAATTTCAGCTCCGTTTTTTTAAAAAACGGAACTGAAATTAAGAACTGGGTTACATGGCCACAAATCCTGATCCAAGCCGCAAAATCCTTAATTTCAGCTCCGCTTTTTTTATAAAAAATGGAACTGAAATTAAGGAACTTTTTCTCCTGAAAATTCCTGGCACCAGCTGCCAAATCCTTAATTTCAGCTCCATTTGTTATAAAAAAACGGAGCTGAAATTAAGGATTTTGGCAGTCGCAAATAATCTCAAAAACCCATGAATTCCATGATGTTTTGGTCGAAATTCGGCATGCCGCGCAAAATCGGCATGCCGCATTTTGAGTAAAAAACCTAGGTTTTTCCTGCAAATCAGACGAAAAACGGCATGCCAAAAACCTTAATTCCAGCTCCGTTTTTTTATAAAAAAATGGAGCTGAAATTAAGGATTTGGCAGCTGGTGCCAGGAGTTTTCAGGAGAAAAAACTCCTTAATTTCAGTTCCATTTTTTATTTAAAAAAACGGAGCTGAAATTAAGGATTTTGCAGTTGATGCCAGGAATTTTCAGGAGAAAAAACTCCTTAATTTCAGTTCCATTTTTTTATAAAAAAACGGAGCTGAAATTAAGGATTTGGCAGCTGGTGCCAGGAGATTTCAGGAGAAAAAACTCCTTAATTTCAGTTCCATTTTTTTATAAAAAAAAACGGAGCTTAATTTCAGTTCCATTTTTTTATTAAAAAACGGAGCTGAAATTAAGGATTTTGCAGTTGATGCCAGGAATTTTCAGGAAAAAAACTCCTTAATTTCAGTTCCATTTTTTTTATAAAAAAAAGGAGCTGAAATTAAGGATTTTGCAGCTTGGATCAGGAATTGTGGCCATGTAACCCAGTTCTTAATTTCAGTTTCATTTTTTATATAAAAAAAAACGGAGCTGAAATTAAGGAATCACCACTTGGACCGCTGAAACTCAGGAAACAAAATTCCTTAATTTCAGTTCCGTTTTTTTATAAAAAAAACGGAGCTGAAATTAAGGATTTTGCAGCTGGTGTCAGGAATTGTGGCCATGTAACCCAGTTCTTAATTTCAGTTTTTTTTTTAAATTGAAAAAAAACG